CTGGCTTCCCAGATGTTTTGGACTTCAGCTCCCAGAACTCCAGACCATTGGCCAAGATGGTTGAGAGTTCTGGGAGATGAAGTCCAAAAAATTGGAGAACCAGAGTTTGGGAATCCCTGACCTAGAGATTCCTAGGCAGGTGTTCTCTCATTTCAGCAAAGCCCTGTTTTCTTATTTGCTGTTTTTCCACTTTCATGGGGGGGGCGTTCTTTCCTGTGCCCCAACCCCAGCAAATGTGGAGGACCCACTGTAATGGGGAACTAGCCAACTCATCCTCTGAGCCAACTTGCTTCACCTGTCCTCACACCCACACAAACAATAAACACCACCAATGCCACCCTCAACATCACCTCTACACAACTAGACTTTGCATCAGTTGGATTTACCACTGCATTGATCCAACATTTAGCGGTTGATTCAATACACCTAACTCTAGTTGGAACTATCCTGCAGGATTGCAGCTGGGCAGTTGTACAGTCTTGGATGGTGTGTAACTCTTGGTTAGCACCTTCAGGGTAACCCTTGTTTCACAGTGTTGTGAAAACCACTATTGTGCATTCTCCAGTGGCATAATATGTAGGCGCTTTGGCACAAGCGATTGCGCAGTGTTGGCATTCAGCAGAAAGGTGGTGTAATGCAATTGCCATGTAACCACATGTGTGTGGATTTGCACAAGACATGCCAGTTGTGGGATCTCGGCCTTTATTTTTGTGACTTATTCCCAGTTAGCCTAGTGGCATGTAAGTTGTGTTTATGGAGACTTTTAATTCAACTTATCCTTTCTGCCCCCCTCCTTTCCTTTTGATAAGTGTCATGATAGCAGGGCTGATCCCACAAGAAGCATTGTGTTTGACCTCAGTTGGGGAGATAGGAAGAAGGCTTATCTGTTGGGTGAAATCTCTGATGGTCCCAAATCACAGGGGCATCTTCAGTTGATGTTGAGCTTTTGAGCCATGCCTTTGCTGTTGGGAAACTGAGTTACAAATGAAGCTGATGTCTACAGAGTCATCCTCTTGCTTCATCCCCCCCCCCCCCCAGAGCCATCTGCTCTGACTGGCAGAGGCATATTGCAGTGTGCTCTTTGTTTATATTCGGCTTGCATATCTAAGGTGGCTTACAAGATAAAAAGGAAAACACACCAAGGCTGCAATCCACCATCTCAGCCTGCCATAAATATTGGCATGTGGAGATACGCTACGCCAGCATGATACAACCCTTGCAGAGTAGCAACATTGTGCAATACGAGTCAATGACTGGGTATCATTGTATGTTTTGTGTGTTATGCAACATTTTGCACAATATGCAATGCACCGCAATAATGTACAACTGCAGTGTACAATCACAGTGCGAAATACACAAATACAGGATGCAGCCACAAATACACAACCACAGACACAACATTGCTATATGCATAAGTTTGCTTTCATGGTTCTACAGTGTACGATACACAAATTCAGTATGCAGCCACAATACACAGTGCACAGCCACATAGCACAACATTGCTATATGCACAAATTTGTTTTTGTGGCTCTTGGAAGAATACGTTCATTAGTCTATGGCAAATAATTTCCCCCGAATGCAAACAGCGATATACCATAACCAAGTACCACTTTGTAAACATCCCATCTTGTCATAATAATGTAGTTTAACTGTGCATAAATATCTAATTCTTTCGGCAGTACATGGAATCAGAAATACGCATGACATCTTCCCTTAGGGACCTGTTTAGAAGGAGACAATGCTACCACTAAGGAAAAAAAAATATGTTTTAAACCACAGATCATTGTCAGGTCTTAAATATAATGTCTTGTGTTCCTTGGCAAACAAGATCTTCTCTGTCTTGAATGGTTGAGCTTGGAATCAGCTAGTTTGCAAAAGTCCTTCTTGGCTTTAAGGTCCTTGGCTTTTTAACATTGCCATGTAAGCCGGAGCCAAAAACTAGCCTCTCCTTCAAAGCATACAAGCTCCAAGGTCAGATTTTTACTATTTATACAATTACTGGACATTTCAGTTGCTTTCCAGCTCTGAGTTTTTCTCTTTTTCTGTGGATGTGTGCAGACTTGCACGGAAGGAAAGGATCATATGGGATTGGAAGAATGTTTCTTCCAAACTGAAACTGAATCCTCCGGACACCAAATCAAAACAGTGGAGCCACATATTATCTTGATTTGCAGAGAGTAAACATTGGCAGAAAAGTGGTAGCTGTTTTGTTGTTGATTAAGGTTAGAAGAGCTCAGGGCCTGGCCCTGAATTTTGAGTTTTCATGCATCATCTCAAGGAAGGAGAAGAGCATGCAAATTCTCTAGTTTGTATGGGCTCAGCTCCAGGAAAGAGGAGAAGTGTGTTGTGTGCCTTCAAGTTATTCCTAACTTATGGCCACCCTAAGATGACCCCATCATGAGTTTTCTTGGCAGGTTTCTCCAATTGCTTGCCCAAGGCTGAGAAAGTTTGACTTTCCCAAGGTCACCTAGCGGGTTTCCATGGCTAAGCAGTGTTTCGAACCCAGTTCTCCAGAGTCATAGTCCAACACTCAAACCACTACACCATCTCACCTAGGGGTTGTCAGTGTGGATAATTTTATGAGATATTTAGCCTTTTCTATCAGAGAGCTCTGGTACCATAACAAACTACAAATCCCAGAGTTCCATAGCACTGAGCTGTGGCAATTAAAGCATTGTCACGCTGCATTATTTCTGCAGTGCAGATGCAACCTAAGAAGTAATATGATTAGGCTCCAAGGGCATTCGTAAACAGCCATGTTTTAACATGGCACCTAAAAGAGACCAATATTGACCTCTAAGAGGAAGGACATTCCATAAATGGATCCCCACAACTGTAGCAGAACCATTGATGTCAATGGGATTTACCTACATGTTGCCTCACCATTCAACAATTGAGTCAATGGGACTGCTATGGTTGGGAATCACCAACAGGATTCCAACCTTGATTTCTCCTTTCCTGCTTCTTCTAAAAAGCGTGAAAGTAGTCAATGCAGGTTGAGTCTCCCTTAACCCAAAAGCTTGGGACCAGAAGTATTTTGGAGTTCAGATTTTCATTTATTTATTTATTTATGAATTATAGAATATTTGTACATAATGAGATATGAGTACCAGTGTGGTGTACTGGTGTACAAGTTGAGTCTTCCGTATCCAAAATGCTTGGGACCAGAAGTGGTTGGAAACAATTTGAGTGTTGGACTTTGAGTTTGGAGACCAGGGTTCGATTCCCCACTCAGCCATGGAAATGCACTGGGTGAACCTTGAGTGAGTCACAGTCTCTCAACCTCAGGGGAAGGCAATGGCAAACCCCCTATGAACAAATCTTGCCAAGGAAACTTCATGATAGGGTTGCCATAAGTCAAAAATGACTTGGAGTCACAACAACAACAACAACAACAATGAGCTTTCGTGAAGTTGGGACCCAAGTCTAAACATGAAATTCATGTATGTTTCATATACACTTTTATACACATAGCCTGAAGGTAATTTTATATATAATAATTTTGTGCATGGAGCAAAGTTTGTTTACACACTGACCCAGCAGAAATCCAAGGTGTCACTACTTCTCCCCCATCTACGTGAACAATTTTTGGATTTTGGAGTGTTTTGGATTTTGGAATTCTGGACTCAACAGTGAATTGGCAGAAGACCCCTCCTTGTTATCTTATTGGGTTTGGAAATGTCTCATGCAATGCTTGCAAGTGCGTTGTGCACAGGTAGACAGCTAAGCATCTTCTCCCCCTCTGCCATCCATTTCTACAGTAAATATTTCAAGCCCCCTCTTCCTGGTTCTCTCTCCTTGCAGTAAATTACATATTAAAGTAGCTTGGTAACTGAGCAGTGGTTGCTGTGCGATAAGGTTGAGGCAATCAATATGTTTGCCATGTGCCTGCTTGTTTATGACACTCGCCTCTCCAGCGAAGGCTGGTGCAATGCTCTGTTTGTTAAGGCTCCGTTTCAGGAAGGCTGCCTCCTTCTGCTCTTCCTCCTCCTCCTTCTAAAACAGAGTCGTGATCTTAACCGGGAAAAGGTGCAACAGTTATTGATTTCTCTCCCTTCCTAAGTATGGCATTACGTTCTTTGAACACTGATGGCTGGGCGGCGGCGGCGGAGGAGTCTGGCGCTTCGGTTTTGCTCTCCGCTCAGGAGCAGAATGTGCAAACTGGGAAAGGAGTGGCAAGATTTGGTTGCAAGGCACACGCTTTTCAAGGAGGTGTAAAACAGGCAGGCAAAGATGGCAGCAGTTTTGGTTCATTGCCACAATCATCATCAATTTATATCTTGTCTTCTCCGCCCAGTGACAAGTAGAGAACATTATTCCCTTGCTATGATTGTTTCTTGCTTTTCCCACCCAAGAATATCTTTCTTTCTTTCTTTCTTTCTTTCTTTCTTTCTTTCTTTCTTTCTTTCTTTCTTTCCAAGTGGCTCTTTCTGGGGAATGTGTTATGTGAAGGATGGACAAGTGGGGTAGAGGAGCAAAATTGCTGGGACCCGTGGCCATTGGTTGCACGAAAGAAGGCCAGTGCAGGTTGGAGGCAGGGGGTGCAGTAAAGGCCATTTTTGATACAGAAGACTGCCGTAGTGGATTAGACTGAAGGTCCACCTGTTGACTCTTCTTCTTTGCAAAAAGCAACCAGTGAGTAGCTCTTGGACCACACGGCTCCTATTTAGTCACCATTTTTGGCTGCCTTTGCTAGCCAAGCCTACAATCATGGCTGGGATCTTTTTCTGGTGTGTCATAGATATATGTGAACATATATAAACATATGATGGTCCTTTTTTGGGGGGGGCATTGTGTAACAGTTGTATTCAGTTCATGGTTGTGTAAGTCGAGTTCCCCAAGTCTAACCACTGCACAAGCCTTTGTGCATTCTTGGATAGTGCAGTTTGCTAGTGCATTTGATTCATAAGGGTTACTGCTGAGAATGCAGTTTGACATCGCTTTAACTGCCAGGTTGTGACAATTATTGTGCAGGTATCACAATAGTCTCTTTGCATCTCCGCACACCACCACCCCTTGCCACTGGACAGAGGCACATTCACTATTTGTTAACTTGGGTTGGGGAGGAAAGGAAGGGGTGAAATCTTGCCCTTTCCAGTAGGCTGTGGCAAAAGCAAACCGAAGCAGCCTCTTCTCTCTTGCTCAGTCTTCCTCATTTATAAGTTTTACAATCCTGCCCACACTCTGATGTTATTTGGCCACATATTCTCATCTGTGAACTGTTGGAGGGTATGGGAGGCATGGCCGTTTGAGGTAGCCAAAGTGAGCTCATTCATCTCCTTTCCAAGGATCTGGGGGCACAGCTCAAAAGAGACACAAGACCTCTGGCTTCCCAATGGTCTGCCCAGAGAATTTAATGAAGCGATCATCTTGGTGAGCATGCTTGGTGCCATGTCACGGCTGCTCCTTCGTTTTCCTCCTCCTGCTGTTCTTCCTCCCTTCTCTGTTCAGTGGAGCCAAAGAAGCCTCCCCTTTGGTAGGTGTGTGCAGCTCTCATCCTCCTTCTCATGTATAGTCTCTTTCTTTCATCCCCTTTTGAAGCCAAAATGTGGAATATTTGGGCCGCCTGATCATTGATGCTCACAACTCTCCTGAAATGCTCTGCGCATCTGTCATTAACCCAGGCTGAAAGGTTTCATCCCTTTGGGGAAAGACTCAGGACAGCGTAATAGGCTGCACTTTCAGTAACTCATGAAGCAACCCTGGCAAAGTGAATTTGGAGATGCCCAAAATGCCTTGGAGAGATTTCTGTTAATTGTGTCCAAGTTTTTTTCATTGTTGCTGTTGTTGTGGTGGATTTCCCTAAAATTTCCTGCATGGAGTCCTCTGTGTATGTATTGCGTTTTGTTTCAGATACAATATAGTGAGGAACCAACATGGTGTAGTGGAGACTATTACTCTGGAGACCAGGATTTGGTTTCTGCTTGGCTGTGAAACCCACTGGGTGACCTTGGGCAAGTCACACACTCTCAGCTTTAAGGGAAGGCAGTGGCAAACCTCCTCTGAACAAATCTTGCCAAGAAAACCCCATGATAGCTTCGCCTTAGGGTCACCATAAATTGGAAATGACTTGAAGGCACCCAACGCAGGCACACACAATACACAGATACTGAAAAGCAGCAGCAGTGACCTCTCCTGCAGAAGAGCTTTTGAATGGGATGCAAAGGGCTAGAGAAATGTCCGTATCAGCCACACTTGTCATTTGTTGTTGCTGTGCTCCTTCAAGTCATTTATGACTTATGGTGACCCTTTCACAGGGGTTTCCTGGCAAGATTTGTCCAGAGGAGTTTCGCCATTGCCTTCTGAGGCTGAGAAAGTGTGACTTTCCCAAGGTCACCTGGTGGGTTTCCATGGTCAAGTAAGGATTTGAACCTTGGACTCCAGAGCCCTAGTCTGATACTCAAACCATAGCACCATGCTGGCTTTCAGAATGATATAACACACAACTTATGCACTCCCAGAAAATAAAAATACAGAGACCATTCTGGTGTTTAATCCCCTGGTTGAAGCCAGAAAAGAAATTCATATCATCAAAATGTGGCCAGATTTCTTTGCAGAGGTGACCACAAACCAGGACCTCTGACCAATAGGAGGTCAGTTGTGCCCATTCCTAGATGAGCGCATGGAGTGAGCCAGCATTAAGGCAGCTTCATCTCTTCATGTGTAACCAAGGGAAGGCCACTGTGGAAACCTCAGATAAGGTGAGAAAACACACCGTGTTCACCTTCCCTGGGACCTGGATAGGGGCATACCATAAAACATGATAAGGCAATGTAAGGAAGTCATGCTACAATTTAAATGACTCACACGCCGCCATCTCTCCTTGTTTTCTCTCTTCTCCAAAGGATTTCGCTTTGTGTAAGTAGTTTGGTGCCAATCATTAACCTAAGGAGCATTTTTAAAGTTCTTTGAAGGCACGTCTCTTTGGTTCTCAATTGAGAGTTTGGTTAAGGGATGCCGTGGAGACCAGGATTCAAATCCTTGCTTTTGCCACAGAAACCCAGTGGGTGACCTTGGGTAAGACACACTCTCTCAGCTCAGAGGAATGCAAGGACAAAACTCCTTAGAATAAATCTATCCAATGAGAGCCAGTATTGAAGGGTAGTTTGAGTGCTAGACTTGTAGGTTGGGAGACCAAGGCCTAATCTGCATTGCAGAAATAATGCTGTTTCACGCCACTTTAATTTGCCATGACTCAATGCTGTGGAATTCTAGGATCTGTAGTTTATTGTGCTCTGCCAGAGAAATCCCTTGGAAAACTACACACCCAATATTTCCATAGCATTGAGCTGTGACAGTTAAATCTGTCAAAGTGCATTATTTCTGCAGTGCAGATTAGACCTCAGTTTCCAATCCCTGCTTAGCCATAGAAACCCATGAGGTGATCTTGAGCAAGTCACTCACCTTCTCTCACCCTTAGAGGATGGCAACTCTCCTGGGAATAAATCCTGCCAGGAAAACCCTAGGATAGGGCCACCATAAGTTGACTTGAAGGCATATAACAGCCATTTGGTGTTGGCTTGCACCCGGTCCATGCGGGTCCTTGGTCTTGG